TATCTCTGTCTGCATAGATCTTATAGATAGAGTTGGGGCTTTTAAAGGCATAAGTCTCATTGAAACGGTAATGTGGCACCTGAGCTGAGCCATTCCCAAGTCATACACAAGTTACACAGTAAGAATAGAAAGAGACTCTGCTCCTCTGCAAATCATGATTATAGATTGCCTGCAGCCTTCTACAGAATGGAGGACAGAACTCACAGATCAAGTCTCCCCAGAAAGTGAAGATGTTTAATCTCATAATAACCCTATTTATTATGCATCCAGCACTGTAAAGTTTTGAAAGTATGGTCTTAAAACTACAGAGAATGAAGACACCCCAATCAACTTATTTTCCTGCAGATCGTGACAATGCCTGATGGGTCACTTCAGAGAGCTACCAAGTCTCAGAGAAAATGGCTGTCTCCTCCATCAACCCTTATGGAAATTAAAGGGATCCAAAACCCTTAAAACATTGTTTATCTACCCAGAGGCCAGCAAAGTAAAAGTCTTATATTCATTATCCTTCTCCAGCAAACCCCACAATATCAGCATAGAGCAAAGGGACAACAGCAGGCTTCTGCTTAGTCACTTGATTATAAAAAATTATCAGGTGCTCTCTGTTGTTGTCACCAGATTTCATTATTGGTAGAGGAACCAGGTGGGGGGAATGGGTGGGGGTGGAACTGGACTAAGCAGAGTCCCCACAAACCCAAGGTGCCCTAAAATACTTTGTTATGAGGAAACATCAACCTCAGTTAAATATATTCTCCTGTTGCCCAAGGAGGGTAGAAAATGGCAATAGACAGGTAGAGGATTATTAACACGTAGGAACCAAGTTCTGCTCTCACAGAATACTCTGAACTGTTATCACCATCAAGAGTAGACTTTGGGTCTAACTTCTCTGAGCACTAACCCTTTCCCTATGCAGCTCCCATTAACATTAAGGATGTAGGCCCTACAGGCTAAATACAGGCCAGTGCCACCTACCAAGTATGTGCTGAAAGAACTGCTACACAGGGACTGCAGCTGGGAGAAGTAATAGAAATTCCTCATATGCATCACAGGGGAGGATGGACCTCATGGGGTATAGAACTGTCAGCAGACAAAATTAACCTCCCCATGGTCATAGAAGGCTGGAAATGTCAATTCATGAAGAACAGAGACAGGCCAAGGAAGTAATGTTCATGTCTTAGTTAAGCCAAGGCTTAAGGTCAGAGGCTTGAGGCCAAACCAGGGGTAGGGTTTAGGCTGAGATTCTCCAGCCATACAGCACTAAACGCTGATGCTTTCCTCCCTCTACATTCTGACCTACAATGGTGGAAATTGCACTCAGCGGCTTCTCTTGCACAATGGCCAGGAGCTTGGAGATTTCTGCAAATCCTTTCTGGTTTAGGATTCAATCAGAATAGGGGTCAAATCCATCTCCTTCACACCTAGAATTCAGGGTGGGAATGCAGGAGCTGAGCCCAGTCCAGGCTCCCATCTCACTGGGACCTAATCAGTGCCGCTAAACATTATCTTTCATAAGCCTTACTTGTCCAGGGCATGTTGTTCAAGATCATCTGGAGCTGCATGGCATTTATTTCAGGATGCTGTGGGAGGGGAGACAAATATTCATATTTTTTAAAAATGAATAAATATTTCTTGTTTTTCTGTCTTTCCTAGCCCTTCCTTTCAGCCCCCATCAAATGCTCACTGGTATCAATGGAAAGAATTACACTGGTTTTGATTAGGCCCTTAGATTTAAGCTACCTTATTGTCTGACTGCAACTTGCCAAAGCCCGGAAGAACCTGGTGTAGTTGTGTTGATTTATACCAATTAAGGATATAACCTATTAGTTTCAGAAGACTGCATTTCTGTCATCTGTCCTACTAAATACATTGCCAATTGCCAATAAAACTGATCAAAATATGTTTTTCATAATTGTTTTGACAATATAAAAATGTTTTTGTTTCATAGTTTTAAAAACATAATTCTTTTGTTTTACAAATTTGTCTTCTGAAAAATAAAAATCTTTTTTTGTAAAGTCTTGTCTTCTGAAAACTCTTGGTTCCTGAAAAAAAAAAATCGGCCTCCATAAACTTTCCTAAACTACTCTGTGATACATAGTGGTCACATCTACGTGAGATGCTAACTGCACAGTTGTTATTGCACGGTCATTTAGTACTTGCGTACACAAGTGCTAAGTAACTGGAGTTACTGCACAATCGCATCCCTGAACTGATTTTTGCTGACTGACTGTGCAGTAGCTCGTTGCTACTGTATCAAGTATTTATGTGCACATTCATCCAATCACAAGGACAGAAAATGTGGCAACATACATCAGAATCGACCTAGTCTAAAGATACAAGGTAATAATTCTGAAAAACAAATGAAAATAAACCCCAAAATAACACATTTTTTTGAAAAATAAAGCACCAGAAACATTTTGGTAAAAGCTTTAAGGAATTGAAGACAACTTTTGGGGGAAAATTAAAATGCTAATTTGGAAGTGTTGGATATTTTTTATTTGAAAAACTGTTAGAAAACTGTTGACTAACTAGTTGTCAGTGCTAAATGAGTAGCTCTAGCATTCAAAAGAACTGGATACCTGCATCTCCGTCTAAAGTTAGCACCTTTCAAAATTACAGCCATAATAAGAAGCATAACCCTCTTTATAAGTATGGCTATGGAAATTATATTATGGGAGAGATTTTGTTAATTCCTGTGATGATGTCTTTGTTCATTTCCTCAGAGGTTGTTCAGTATGGAATAGTTGGTTTCAGAAGCTTAAGGAGACTCCGACTAAGGGTGAAGTTGCACATTACACTTAAACCATATTAAATCTGTGGAACGTTAAGTGGTGCTAAAGTTAGAACATGCAGTGAGCTGTCATATGTTAAGGGTTTCATAGGTGTTAGGGGCTGGAAAGATGCTTTTTGAAGCTCTCCAGGGTTCATACATTTCTTGCCTGCATAGCTCTGACTTGTCACTAGAAGACTTGTAAGCAGGAGCATGGCTAGAACACAGGACATTTGGGCTCCATCCCTGCTCTGGGTGCTGGCAGCAGTGCATCCTGGGATGCTGGAGGGACTGTAAATTGCTCATTTTATCTCCATGGTGCAGACTGAAGTTACCCTAACATGACCTAGGTAGCATGGCTCAGAGTTAACCCTCATCTGAAATGGCATAACTTTGAGTTGCTCAGAGGGCACTTAACACGAGTTAATGAGTTTTAACGTGCAAACGCTTGCATTTTAAGTGCCCAGAGTACGGTCTAAGTGTAATGTGTAACTTCACCTTGAGCTGAGTGCTCATATGTTTAACCAGGAGTGCTTTTCCCTGACCAGCATGTTTCCTGCCTGAGTGCTTAGCTATTGCATAATCTATTATGGTCTTTTATATCATAACCTTTGAATGAAATCTATGTCATACACATGCCAATCTCCCATGGCTCCGATCAGTTTAAAGTCCCCTCTGGCTCCCACCTTTCCCAATACATTCAGACTTCCTTTTCCCAATTGAGTGAGCAGTTTGTTGGCCTTTGGGAATTTCTATGGGTACACTTACTTGTTCAAAATGCTTAGTGAAAAAATCCTCCCAAATCTTGCCTTCGTATCTATCAACTATTTCCTTTAGGAAATAAAAAAAAAATACGCGTTTAACTGAAGAGTTTGAAGCAGGACTATCCAACATAGAGTTACAGAATATTCCAAAATATTCCTTATCCTGTCATTCTCTAATCACTAGTGCAACTACTTGGCCCAGTCCTCACTGACGCCCGGGCTCGCAAGCCGGAGAAGTACGCCCCGCTGGCCAACACCCTGAGGGGCCGCAGCTATGACGTGACGGTGGACGCGCTCATCGTGGGGACGCTCGGAGCCTGGGACCCCAGCAACGAGAGCGTCCTCTGCGCCTGCCGCGTCTCCCGCCGCTACGCCAAGCTGATGCGCTACCTCATGGTGTCCGACACCATCCGTTGGTCCCACGACATCTACGTGGAGCACATCACGGGCCACCGCCAGTACATCGACCCCGCCAGACGAGCCACCGCCGGACCGGACCCAGAGGGCGCTGCCGGCTGACCCGCCCCCCCGACAGGATGCTTCCCCCACGGACGACCCCGCTCCACCCGAAGAGGACCCCTGCAATCGGACTTTATGGACTGAGACGCTTTCTCCGAGCCGCTTTCTCCACCATTGCGGACCATGGTAACGGGTTTGTGTGTATCTATCCCCTTTCTCTCTCAGCGTCGGGAACCCCC